TTCACGGCTGTTGAAGGGGAAATGTCTGTGTATGCTCTGGGAATGGTCATGTTAGGCAGGTCTGTGAGTGAGTCTTTCCACTGTGTCCAAGACTCTTCCATTTCGGGAGGGAATGGAGCATCCCAGTCCCCATTTTCAGCTGTAAGTTCGCGTAGAATCGACTTCCCCTGTATGGTGACTGGTGCTACAAAACCCAGCGGATCATAGAGGCTGTTTATTGTTGATAGAACACCTCGTCTGGTAAAGGGTTTTGACTCATCAGATACTTCAAAGGTGAAGCGGTCTTTACTTAGGTCCCAGAGGAGACCTAGGCTACGCTGCATGGGCACCGAATCACTTTCGAAGTCCAGGTTTTTTAGATTTTTGGCATGATCTTGAGTCGGGAATGCCTCTAGTACTTCCTTCCTGTTTGCTGCTATTTTATGCAGTCTTAAGTTTGAGTTTGCAAGTGCATCTCGGGTTCTTTGGAGTAGAGATATGGCCTTTTCAACAGTAGGTAGAGATTTGAGTCCGTCATCAACGTAGAAGTCACGCATGACAAACTGCTTCACATCTGCATCGCAGTCCGGTTCGAGCGTTGGACAGACTGGTGCAGGCCATATATGGCTACTGCTGGCGATGGGCTGTTCCCAAAGACGTGGACCGTCATTCTGTACTCCACAACTTCTTTGGAAATGTCGTTGTCACGGAACCACAAGAAGCGTAAGTAGTTCCTGTCTTGCTCTCGCACGTTGAAACAGTAAAACATCTGTTCGATGTCTGCTGTGAAGGCAACGGCTTCTTTTCTGAAGCGTATTAGGACCCCAAGCAATGAGTTATTAAAATCTGGTCCTGTTAACAGAACGTCATTCAGGGATACGCCTTCATACTTGGCGCTGCTGTCGAAGACGACCCTGATCTGCGTGGGTTTACGGGGATGGTAGACACCGAATAATGGCAGATACCAACATTCCTCATCCTCTTTTAGTGTAGGGGCGATCTCTGCATGTTTGTTTTGGAATATTTTGTCCATGAAGGTGATGAAATGTTCCTTCATCTCTTTCTTCTTTTCAAAGGTGTGAAGAAGAGACATTAGGCGATTCAGGGCTTGTGGTCTGTTGTTAGGGAGCTTTCGGCGTGGATTTTTAAATGGTAAAGGAGCTGTCCAACTGTTATCTGTGTCTTTTGTTAGTCCTTCCTCCATTATTTTTAAGAAGGCATTGTCCTGGATGGAAGGTGAGATGTAGTTGTCATTTCTGGTTTGTTTGAACACATTACATCCTAAATGATCAGGTTCACAAGCACTGTCTGCCAGCTGGGAGCTGAAGTTGAGTGGAACTTGTATCCCACAATGTTTCTCTTTTATGTTGAAAACATTAGGACATGGCTCGAATGCTGTGGGACGTCCCCTTTCAGTTGCATTTGTGAACAGAGTCCTTACTGCAGGAGTTCTGTGGACGTCACCTAAACACACGTTTCCTACTATGACCCATCCTAGGTCCAATTTTTGAGCATAGGGTGCGTTGTTAGGGCCACTTATCTGTTTGCGGACTTTGTGAGCTCTAATGAATCCCGTCCAAGAAGCATTAGTATGGGGGCGTTAGAGTCCAAGGCAGGAATGAGGTGAGCCACTGACTTTAGATGGCTGTGGTGTCTAGCTGCACTGGGTGGGTCGTCTCTGTCATTTGGGATATTTTTGCACTCAATTAGGCTAGGCAGTGGGATGTGGACTGAACCATCTAAAGCTGCCACTACATAACCTGTAGCTCTTCTACCCATTGTCTCTTTGGTACCTGCACATGTCTTAAGCGAGTAAGGGGAACTAGGGCCGCAGTCATTAAACAACTCGAAGAACTCCGGACGTACTAGTGATCTGTTACTTTGTTCATCATGGATGGCATAAAGCCTTACTGCTTGATGTGGGTGGCCTGCTGGGTAGACATTAACGAGACAGATTTTAGAACATGAAGTGCCTGCTTCATTCACACCACAAACCTGAGTGCATTTAGAAGTGATCTCCTCTGGTTCAGTGGTGTCAGGCTCCCCGCCATGCTCTGCTGCTGGTTCGGTTTCTTTTAGCCAGGGAGCTGGTCCTGGGTGGAGAGCCGTGCAGTGCTTCTCATCGTTGCACTCGGAACACTGTACCTTGGCTTTACAGTTCTTTGCTATGTGTGAAGATGAGGCACAGCACCTGAAGCAAAAGTCATTTTCTTTTAAGAACGTTTTCCTATCTAACAGTGTTTTCATGCGAAATGCTCTGCACACTGCGAGGATGGGTTGTGATTGAATCTTCATGTATTTGTTGGGCCGTGTCTAACTATGAGGATGACACATTTGGCACGAAATTCTTGTCTTTCCTCAGAAGTGCTGGGGCACGTTGTGGAAAGGGTCGTCTGACATTCTGTAAGTTTGACTAATGTGAGGAGACCATTTTTGCTTTGTAGTTGCTCTACGACATTCGCAGGAGGAATTTTGATGTTTACTTCTGGACTGGCGGCAGAGGTCTTCAGCTAGCATGTTCAACAGGCGTTCTTCGAGGCCTACTCCAGTATACTCGTCGCGCTCCAGCTCCTAACCCGAAACACCTTTTGACGATACTCTGGTGAGTATGGCGATCTGTGTGTGGGCTGCACGCAGCAGGTCGCAGTATGGGGAATGTGAAGCGTGGATTTCCCGAAAGATCAGGAGATTAGGGTTTCAAATTAAAGGAGCCTGCAAGCTCACAAGAGGTGCAGAGTGACAAACGTAGGTATTTATAATAATAATAATAATAATGGATTGGTTTATATAGCGCTTCAAGGCACCCAAAGCGCTTTACACCACTATTCATTCACTCCATTCACACACTGGTGGAGGCAGCTACGTTGTAGCTGCCTCAGAGACGAGCAGGCTGCCATATCGCGCCATCGGCCCCTCTGGCCAACACCAGTAGGCGGTAGGGTAGATCTACATATGAACAATTGTCAAATATGCATTATAACTAATATGATATCCTCACATGCACCGACCCAAAACATGACAAAAGTGTAAGGATATCTACTGATATTTATTTAGATGTCTGCAGGATACTGGGAATACTTATGTCAAAGCAAGAAAGGCAAAAGACATGGTGTCTGCCCTCGCACTTGAAGTAAAATCCTCATATCGTCTCATGAACACTCGCTGGCTAAAGTCGTCTATCCCATACGAATCTGGTCTCCATCAATCTGCACCCCAGGGTTCTCGCGTTACGGCAGGTTCATACTTCGTTATACTGGCCTATGAACGAAGAATCACTTCTGAAATATGATAAGTACAACATGTATAATGAGTTCATCCCTTTTAGAATACTGATCTGTTACTCAATAATTGCTGATCTATACATATTATATGGTACATGGGGAAATCTGTGCTAATGAACGAACGCGCCGCGAATCCTGTACAAGTACGCTCGGCAGGTAGCTACTCTGCTTGCACAGTCGATCTTCGGGAGAACGCAGATCAGCGATGACAATCTTCACACTTATGAGGTCGACCCTGGTCACTAAATTTTCTCAGTTTTGCAAAGTCTTTGGATGAGATTTTTGGGAATGCATCAATTCTTTTAAACAGTGCATCCTCGATCACTTCAGCTGAGCCATAACATTGTTCAAGTCTGTCCCATATCATGTTGAGGCCATTGACTGGGTTGTTGATGTGTATGGCTCTGAGTTGTTCTGCATGTTCAGCCGATTCCTTGCCAAGCCATTTTAACATCAAGTCCATTTCTTCACTTGCCGTTAGATCTAACCCGCTTATAGCATTTTCAAATGAGCGTTTCCAAGCTCTGAAGTTTTGGGGCTTGTCATTAAACTGGAGCAGCCCTGTTGCCACTATTTCACGACGAGCAAAGTATCTGATGAAGTCACTCACATTTGATTCTCTAGGCTCTTTGTATAAAGGCCTAGCATCATGGAAGCTAGATGCTGACACCTGATTTGACCAATTGGTACTGTAATTTTTATTAGCATGGGGAGAAGGGGAAATGACTGGAGTTTTTTGGCAACAGTCAGGATCATCTGTTAGACCAATTGGAATTTTTTGTGGGTCATTTTCTTTTTTAGGGCTTGGTGGCTGATCACAGGTGAGCTCTGGTTTACTTTGTGTTACATTTTCATTTTGTGATTGTTGAAGAGCAGCATCATTTTCTTTTCTCACAAATGTAGATTGGCCAATGACATACTGTTTAGTTCGTTCTGCTGTTACTGAGGGACAGATGTTGCTGCGCGTTTCTGTCTGTGTGGCAGCAGCTGCTTCTAATGATTCTGCTTCAGCAATGGCTGAAGCTACATCTTTTTCATGCTGTAAATATTCGATGGATGCCTCGACTTTAGCTTTTGCTACTTCTATTTGTGCTTTTTCTACCTTCAAATCCATTTCTTTAGCTGCGAAGCTGAGCCGTGCCTTGGCTGCCTCAGCTTTTGCTCTGGCTTTGGCTGCTGCAGAACCTGTAGAGGAGGCACACGAAGCTTCGGACCGGGTCTTGAGGGATGACGCCTTGCTGGACATGTTGGAGTTGATTAGACGACTGCTGGCTCACTGCTGTATGCCGTGTTGCTCCCAGGCGTAGTAGTGGTCAGCTTCACTCTAGTGTGCGATGACTGCGTTATCTTTGTTCGTGCGGATGCCGCTGTTTTACTATGCCGTTACGGGTGCATGTCTGATGCAAGGGCGTGAACACCTTTCTCATATCACCACTCTGAAGACCGATGGGCGTTGTCAACAGGTTTACTGACATTCAAAAGGGTAAAACTAAAAACAAGACAAAAAATACAGTCAAGACATACATAAGCGTAGCATAACATACATTTATACACCGCAATACTAATACACAGCATACGTCTAATTATATAAACTTTTAAACAACTACTGAGGCTATCTCAGACGACCTCCGACATCGCGGATAGCTAGCTTAGCACCGAGATTAGCTTTACGGTCAAATACTGCGCTAGCGGCAACATAATGTACAAAAACAAGTTGTAATTTAACTTTAAGTACATACCGGCGATACAACCGTAAACCAAAGATGTAGACAGTAAATTTTCCGACAGGACACCATAAGCCGTGTGCCGATATGTCTCTTTCTTTCGCTCGCTTGCTTTCCTTGAGCTGACTTCCTGTTCAATAAAGTTGTTTCAAAACAAACCATTTCTACGGTGCATTACTTGAAACGACCACAGAGGGCGCTAAAAACACATAACTAACAACGTACTGGGAATAATATTTTAGTGATACAGAACAATACCCAATCAAAAGTCCCTTTTCTATTAGTACCTACTCGGATCAACTTGTGGCTTGCCACAACTCAACTGGTTTTCCACTACAATCGATTACCAGATCATGTGGGTGATCGTCGTCATAGCAACGCGGACGAGCGTTGGCCAGTTGGTGGTATGCAGCTTGACGACGTTACATTTTAGTACCTGACCAGATTGCTTGGAACCCCAGCCGAGCAGGTACTATTTTAGTAACTGCTACCAGGTACTATGATCTAATGGAAAACCCTAAAAACTGGCAAGTTGATTTGAGTAGGTAGAAATGGAAAAAGGGGCTTTAGGCTCACACCTGCAGAATCTGACATGCATTGGAAGTAAGCACACTCTGCTACAGAAAAAAGGTTTCTTACCAAATCAGTTTAGTCACATTAATTATCTTTTTGCACAGATGCAACGCTTACACGAAAGAGGTTGTATAATGTTGAAAGGAAGTGTTGAAGGGTTACATTTTCAGCTACAATTTGAGCCTGCTACATATTTATTATAATTAGCACTTGCATTTTGAAGTGTAATGATTAAGCTATTAATATTTCTGTATTTCTCCTTTTGGGTTTATTGACAGCTTCTTGTTAGATTTTGGCATAATTCTCATAATTGTGAAATAAGGTCACAGATTTTTCCTTTTTCTTTTGTGGGTGCAGTGTGCTTTTCTTTTTCATTTAAGATGTTTATTCATTTATTTTTTAGTACTTATTTTGAAAATGTCATATCTTCTGCTCTGATTCAGAGTTTTCCGAAGCTAGAAGAACAATATTTAATTCCATGGTGCAGAAGCATCTATTAGACCACACCCCTTCTCATTACAGAGATGCACATCACCTAATATGCTTAATTGGTAGTAGGCTTTCGAGCCTATACAGCTTGGAGTAAGACAACATACATGAAGAGGATGATGTGGACAAAATACTCATTTGCCTAATAATTCTGCACTCCCTGTATGTGAGAAGGATTTTAAGCTTAATCTATATTTAACAGAATCAAATTACTTATAATTTCACTGTTAAATAATTTATTAACAACAAACAGAAGCCAATACTGGGGAAATGAGCTCTCTTTCACTCTGAAAGAGATCGCAGGCTGCAAAAATGTATCTAGAAAGTTTTGGAAGGACTTTGCAAAGGCAAGGATTAAATGGTGGAAGCCAAAGAATGGTGTGCAGAGGTAGGGCAGAATTTGAGGCTCAGGGCAATAGTGAATAGTTAACAGATGATTTGGAAAGTGTAGCTGAACTGGTCAGAGAATTTCCAATAAGGTATCTGTACTCTGGACAGAGAAAAGAAGACAAAGAGACTTGGTGATCAAATGGAGAAGAACAGGAAAGAATTCAATGAAGGATGAGATGGAATTGTTCTAACAAGCGAAGAGAGTGTGCTAAGAAGGTGGAAAGTACTCTAGTATCAATTTTCAAGAACATGAATAAGTAACTGTGGTATTGTATCAGAATGTCAGGACTAGAAGAGAATCCTGAGGGGGTGCTGGGAAGAAGGACTGCAGTGAGGTGTGGTTTCAAGGTGCGGGTGGAATTATATTGACATCTGAGTCTATTCTTGTATCAATCATGATGGTTGACAGATGAGGTCAATGGACTATGATGTTTGCAGATAACAGTGTGATCTGTAGTGAAAGCTAGGAGTTGGTGGAAGAGATGCATGCTATTTCTTCCGTTTGAATGAAATAAGTTAAAAACCATATCTTACTCTAATTTTGTGAGAAAGCCCTATAGCCTGTAACATGTATATATATTTTTTCCTTGTCGGCTGTTGTCAAAGCTAATATAAAATCAGTAAGGTTCTTGAAATACTAGATGAAAAAGAATAAAAATGTATTTTTATTTCATTGGTTGATTATAGAAGGTTATATCTTTGTAGTCCAAAAACACAGCACAATTGTGCATAAATTTGACTAAACAGAAGTCAGTCATCCCATTCATCCATTAATGATTCCAACATATCAGATTCCTCTTTTCCTGTTTATTCTTTTGATTTGCACATGGTTTTATGTTAAATATAAGCCTAGTGGCTTCAACCGCCAGACAAATGGAAATTAAGGTGAAATATCCTAGCATTCAACAGAAACCAGCTGCACTAAAATAAGGAGGAAATTAAAGATATCTAGCTTCAAAAAGCTAAAAGAGCAGATGATTTGAATTAATTAATTTGGTGTAAAAGTAGAGGATAAAAAGAAGATAAGGAAGGAACTCATGGGATTTTTACAGAGTATCTCCAGTGTTCAAATATTGTGGCTAGTAGCAGCACAAAGACAAGCGATTCTCAGTTGCTGTTGTTTACAGGATTATGAGTGAATGATAACATTCATAGCAATTTCACAAGTTTAAGGTGATGTGCTATTAGACCGACCATGCAGATAATTTTAAATTCTACTATAAGCCTTTAGATTTACATTTAATAGAAAAGGAAAAATTAGATATATTGAATACACGAATGATGTTGCGTCCACCAGAAAACCAGAAATCTAAGGAATTTATGGAAAAAAAAAAACGTGAAAATTATGTTTTAATTCATGCATCATAGACTGCATGCAGAAATGGAGATCTATTCATCTGTAAAGTAGGTAATGTGGGCAGGTTTTGGTAAACAGGTCAGATTATACAGTATGTAATCCCATTTAAATCTTATTACAATATCTTTTCATCAGTGCTTCTCTCAAACCATTTATTTAGTTTCAGTTCTTGCAAAGGTCATAGGTATACTTGATCTATCCTATAATCCATCCATTCCCTCTATAAACTGTATGTCCCCTTATTTATCCATCCAGCACATAATCTCTCCATTCTTCTTGCACTCCTCTCTGTCTATACTTTCTCTCATGTATTAGCCCAGCATGTGGTAGACATAGTTTTTACTTTCACCCAAATGTATGTTAGTTTAACTTGATTAGTTAAACTGGTTGTTAGTGATGCACTGACAACATGTCCAGTATTAACACGACACTTTCCCAGCCATCTGTTGAGATATGCTTCAGCCTATTGCGACTCTGAATGATGACGCAAGTATGTGAGGAAATTGGTGGATGTATAGATGAAAACAAATATTTGAGGTTGTTAAAGAGAATGAGAGTGAAAGCATCATATTTACCACTGTTGTGTGTCAAAGACAGCTGAAGAATGGCACGCCTGGTGGAGGGGACAATACAGTCATAATAAAAAAATAAATAAATTAATTAAAAAAAATTAAAATGACAAGTTTTTGACTGTCCTTCTGAGTGTTTCTGCCACCTCCTCTTAACCACTGAATACAGCCCACGTTAGACTTTCCACAGAAAAATCCGCAAATAGTGAATTCTCAAATAATGAACCATGGATAGGTGGGGGTCAACTGTACTATAGTGGGTGATCTAAAACAAACTGAGCACAACAATGTTGCACCCATTTTTCACAAATCTGTCCTACCTTAATCTTTCTAAATCTGAAGCGAATACTTTTTTTATATATGATATAAATAAATCATTATATATGATTATAGAGATGATTATGGAGATAATCATACGTCAGAATCTTAGGACTTAAAACCACATAAATTCAAAGTTGAAGTATCATATTAAATTCTCACAATGATAGCAGTAAATTAGTAAGTTTAAAATTTATACACTTCTATTACAATTCGTAAAGTAAATCTCATGAAAATCCCTGTAGACATAAGGAAGTTATTATCAGTTTTGTAGGAAATTCTGTATCTCTCAGTGCTTATGTACAGTAATTATTTAGTTACCGCTAAACATTTTATAGTATTCTGTTCTTCAATAATATTTAATGCCTTATAATTAAAGCATCACTCCAGAATTACCTGCTAGGATTGTTCTGTAGCTCAGCTGTTATGTTTTGAGGCCAATGTTAACCTTATTCTGCATGATTGACTATTTGGCTGCAAGTTTTACATGAAGACAGCGTTTGAGCAGACTCCATCAGGCTGTAGATGAGTATACCAGCACCCCATTGGTTTCTTACAGTTCTGAGCTGATTGCATGCTGGACACCTACCATTTTCAAAGTAAAAATCACTGTTTCCTGCCCTCAGTCTTGTTCATTTTTTGGTTCTGCAGAACAGCTTGGACTCTGCTGTATATACGGTAAATGAAAGCATAATTTCTTTTGAAACCTCCGTTTTTTTCTAGCTGTACCTTACCTGGCTGTTTCGGTCATCAGCCACGTTTCCTATTACAAGTGTTTTGAAATTAAACTGTCACATATTCCCAGTCAAATATTGCAGGGAAACAACATGATCAGTCGTTTACGTCCCTGTCAGTGCTTTTGTTTTTTTGTTTTTTGGCTTATTGGTATGTTTTTATCATATTGTTCTGGGCTCAAACCAAACAAACAACTGTGCTCTGGTATTGTTTGCAGGATTAAATAAAAACCTGTGGGCTGGAGGAAAAAAAATGTGATCTTTTGTTTTTACCACAACAACCTGCTTCTTTTGTTGTTTTATGATAATGCAGTAATACATGGTAGTATTCACAACATCAAGCACAGTTGGACTTCTGAGTCTGTTATGCTTCTGAAAATCATATCTATATCTGTATCTGTATAGATATATATAAATATAAACACAACAACACCAAAACATTTTAGCTAGGACAATAAATATCAGTTTATCTGTGCTTTTCGCTTAAAAGACATGCCGCATGGGTTTGTGCATGCATCCATGTTCAGGTCTCTTAAGCAGAAGATTAAAAATACAAATATAGTTTTGGCATTCGTGCCTTTAAAACCCTGTGTTCCTGTGTGAATAAGCAATGCTGAAAACACAAACACATACAGAACCTCCCTGTCTTTGTTAGCGTCCAGCAAAGTTGGTACTTACTGGATTTCCAGCTCTCACACATAAGTAATAAAGCCATTGTTCCAATATCCTTTCCTCAGCTTTATGACCACATCATAAATAAGAAACCGATTCACCATTTATGAATAAATGAAGGAATCCTTCTGAGATCATGGAAGATT